GGTGACCGCCAAACGTCAGATAGTCGCATAAACAAAGCACTACAGTAGCATCCAGAGACTCCCAATACATGTATCCCGAAGAGTACAAAGCAATTTGGCCTGAGCATGGCCCGAGGGCTACCCCACGAGTAATAGGACCAGACAAATACGTCTGGTAATGAAATAAACAAAGTTTTATATTTCTGGTGTCTACCGAGAGCTGTATGTCCATAATGGGCCATAAGAATATCGGTAGTCAAACGAAGCATAATAAATACAGCTTATCTTATATGTTAGCCTAACTTATCTTCCACAGTTAAAATTACTTTGTATTTTGCTCAGGCCTGTAAGTTTTTGCGCCCTGTGTAGCGTCCCGAGACTTCCAATGGGGTAGTAGAAGGCATAAGTGCGATTGAATACATGTATTCCGAAAGCAATAGAAGAAATGGGGCCTGAGCGTGGCCCGAAGGCCAGCCCACGTGTACAGGGCTCAGACAAGTTCTAAAGTGACCGCCAAACGTCAGATAGTCGCATAAACAGGGCATTACACCTTGCATTTTATTACTAATCCAAAGACTTCATTTTAATGGAATGTTGGTGTTTTGCTATTTTGTATCTAGGCGCATTTAAATGGGCGTTGAGTCTTATTTTCCACCACACAAAGCCACTCGTTTGCCAATCGTGGTCCCACTCATCTTCTGCATTTAACTTCCTGCGATGTTTGGAACTTGATCAGGAACTAGAAACCTTAGCTCTTTGTTTTAACTTCTAGTGTCTTTTGAGTTAGGGGCAGGATGTTTACAGTCAATTATTCCTGATTGGTGCAAGAATGCGTTATGTTCGGTTAACTACTTGCATTCTGGTGTGAGATAAAGAGATTATGCTCGACTTGGCCCGGGGTTTAGCCGACCCCTCCAGGAGCGAGACCATCGCCTAAGCAGCCGATGGATATACGGGTAGCCTCACCAGTAAAGTAGTGCACCCACTAACTGCCTGGCTTGCCTAAAGCTTTATCCACTTCATACTCTTACAATATCCGTAGGCCGCCCAGCATCATGTATTCTACTCGGATGACAGTTCAAGCTTAAGTATGCGCTCCAAGAAGTTAAAAAGCTACCGTGTTGCGTGAATTTTGTAATACTTAGTATATTTCGCTCCGGCTTGAGTAAAAGTTGCGTGCTAACCTCACACACCTTCCGATTTCTGGTCACACACTAAATCAAATACACCCTACTCTGGACAGCCTACGCAAAGAAAGCGATTTCTGTTTCCTTTTAAGCTGCTAACCTTGTGTTTAATTATACACTTTAAATTTTCATCAAAGCCTAATTTTTATTACCACTTATTTGTTTGAATCCGTTCATCTTTCATATTCTGGCCGTAATGGCTCCTATCCTGAGGATCCGTGGTTTGCCGTATTCTGCGACCGCGGATGATGTAATTGATTTCTTTAAAGGCAGTATCCTGTTTAAATGTTACATTTGATATAGATGTCACGATAAAAGGTGGCAAGAGAGGAATCTCTTTTCCTCAAGGGCCAAACGGCCGTTCGAATGGGGAGGCATTTGTTGAATTAGATAACGAGAACGACATCGAACGGGCCATGGCTCACCACAAAGAGCATATGGGGCGTCGGTATATAGAGGGTATTTTTTTGTTTCTATACTTGGTATTCCTAGTTTTCCGTTCTGATGAAGCTGAGATGAAGCGCGCCATGGGCTGGCAGCCGGACCGGAATAGGAAGGAATTCTTCGCTCGTCTTCGTGGTCTTCCTTATGATACTGAGAAGCAGGATATCTTTAGGTTTTTTAACGGTGAGTGGACATCTCCCACCGCCTTTGTTGTTGGAATTCCACTTTAATGTACCCTTTTGTGGAGTAGTAATGTCAGTGATGGGCTTTCCTGAATCGTCCTTAATTTTAGCGCCGGACGGTCTTTTCCTTTCAGAACTAGTAATTTTTGCGTCTAATTTGCATTATTTTTTGGTATGAAGCGGTCGTTACATGTCGGTGGGCCTGCTGATCGTGGATTTCGGTTGAATACCATTGCGGTCGTGCTTTGCACCCGGGATTGTTGAGCGTGTTGTACTGTAACGGTGATTTCTAATCGCTGGAAGTTGCTGGGGTTTGGCGGCTCGCACACTCGCTTTCAATGTGTCAAAGGGGAATCGGGACTCGCTGTGCGTCGGGGTTTGTCCTTTCAAGTCATTACAGATCGGATGGGGGAGATGTGACAATTTTCAGATCAGGTGTTAGAATGATTTGCGGCGTGGCTTGGCACATTTGGTCTCTACCTGGTGGCTGGCAGATGCAAACCATCCCTTTCGCGGAATTCGTGGTGGCGGTGTTGGCTCATGGCTTCTGAGTTAATAGGTCTCAATGGGGGTGGGCGCTTTGTGTTGGATTGTTTACCTGTGTGAGCGTGTTCCTCAACGTGCGTTTTCTCGGCTATGCTTGTTTGCGAATGTGTGCTAGTTGTATTTGGTGAATGATACGTATTGGTTTTCTATCTTATTCCTTCTCTGGACGGGTCGGCCAATTTTGTGGTGATGGGGGCTGCGGTGGCGGGTGTCGTTGCGGCTGTGGTGGTGGCCTTCAGATCTCACAATAGCGCCAGACGGGATCGGGCTTTTGGTCGACCATCTGGGCCGTTGCACGGGGGATGCCTATGTCCAATTCACCTCGGCCGAAATGCTAGCTCGGGCAAAGGAGAAGCACTTGGAGAAGATAGGGCGAAGGTGACATTTTCTGTGTGTATCTCATCCCTCTTCCCGTAAATTCTCTCCTTATCTCTCCATTCGTTGGCATTTCATTAGTCACATGGGTTTCCGCCTTTAAGATCGTCTTGGGGGTGGTTTCCGTCGTGCATCTACCAGCTTTAATTCGTTTCCAGATGAAATTGGGTCTCCTCCGTTTTCACGGACTACCTCTAAGCGTCCTGTCTTCTCCCTTTAGGTATATCGAAATTTTCGACGCAACTGGCATGGAGGCATCGATGGCTATACGGAAGCAACATGAATTAAACAGTAAGCGTACTTTTTCCGCCTTCCAATGTAACTCGGATCGTCGGTTTCTAGAGGAACGGAGTGGCGTTGGGCCTATGATGCGACACGGGGGTCGCGGTGATCGTGGTTATTACGGCAATCCGCCACCACCACCACCAGGGCCTCCCGGTCCACCCTATCGCGGCTACGGTGGTGACAGCGGTTATGGTTATGGTGGCGGTCCTCGTGGCCCACCTCGACCTTGTCCCTATTCCCGTCCCTACGGTTACGATCAGCGCCCCCCGAGTCCTCGCGGCCCCTACGGTCCACCTTCAATGGACTCTGGTGGCGGTGGTGGCCCATATGGTAGTCCTCGTGGCGGCGGCCTCCCGCCTCACGTAGTCCACATGCGTGGTCTTCCCTTCCAAGCCACCACAGATGAGATAGCCGCGTTCTTCACTCCTGTGCAACCCGTCAACATAACTCTTCGTTACAACGCGCAGGGTCGACCGACGGGTGAAGCGGATGCCGAGTTTGCCACTCATGACGAGGCAAAGGAGGCCATGAAGAAGGACCGTGAGAAGATAGGAACACGCTACATTGAGCTCTTTCTTGATTCCATTCCCTCTCATGGAATGTCACAATCGCCTGGTTATGTTGGCGGCGGCGGTAGTTCTGCTGGCACATCGTGGAACTACGGGCCGCCTTTCTATGGTGGCGGTAGCACTGCGCCTCCCACACCTGGCGGTGGCGCAAACGGTGCTCCGGCTGCTTCAGTTGGGCGGTACAATGGAGGCGGGAGGGCTCCTGGGGGACCACCGTCCCGTGGCTACTATGATTCGCCTAATGATGCTGGTAGTGGAGGCGCCGGCTATTATGGGACTGGCGGAGGCGACTATGGTTATGCTCCTCCTTCTGCCTCGGCACCTGTGGATGATCGATATGGTGGTGGGGACGTCCGCCGGAGCGAGAGTGGTAGTGGTGGCGGTTATGGCGCGCCACCGCCATCATCAGCTGTTCCCTCCAAGGTTGAGGGTAGGTTTTGGATTGGCCTATCTGACGATGTTTTTGTTTAGCTACTGACGACGGATATGACCGCTATGAAGCCTCGCGAGAGATGGAGAACTACTATTGGTGAGGTTGAGGAGTGTGGACTGGTGATTCAATTAATTGTGCATTTCTTTTGTACTCAATACAAGTCGATAACCTATTGTTTTTACATCAATAGAGGACTTTTTATCCCTATTGTTTTCTGTTATTTTGCGGTGTTTCTTCAGAACGTGTGGAACGAGCGCTGTTTTACTGTCACACTAGGTGCATTTAATTTTTTATCATTATCTTAGAGTGGATATACGGAAGTGGTTATTGTGCATATTGGATGTGTGCACGCGTGACTGCTGCTGTTTTCGTGACAACACTGACATAATTAGAGGGCTGCAGACGTGCGCTTTGTCTTCCAAGCTGGCTATCTTGGTAGCACCAGGTGTTTGGAATGCGTTTATTTGTTTCCATATTACAGGAGAAGGAAGCTAATTGGTTCTGCCCGAACAGATGGCGTGGGATCGAATGGTGCTTCCGCCCGTGGATTTGAACGTGAGACGTCATCCTCAAGAGCGCTTTGAGTTGAATGGAACATCCACACTCTTGGACCCCGATCTACTGGATGATTTGGACACAGGTCCATGAAATGATTTTATTACGACGTTTCACAAGAAGTCATGAAATCCTCTGACAGTTTACGAAGAAGTGAAATTGGCTTCATGATTTTGCAAAAGTGGAAGGGGATGGGATAAGATAGTATGATCGACGTTTTACGGGTGGATGGGTGGAATGTGTTGGAGACAATGGCAGAAGACAGACGGAAAAACGCACGAGCGATGCAAAAATGAGGGAGGAACGTCAGTCATCACCCTTTGAAGCTTCTTGTACATTGTCTGATCCGCTGAACTTCCTCATTAGCCGACGTTTGTTGGGTGGATTTGGCTTCTATCAAGATGGATCCAGTCCGTGCCTATAGATGGAAATTAGACATTAAAGTCGGGACGTCAAGTACCTGAATGGAGCTCACCGAAAGTTTCACCAACACGCAAACCGGTGTCCTCGCGACTTCGGCGTATAGTGATGCAGTGGCTCCAACACGTTCAACGACTAAAAAAGTACGCCTTGTTAAATTGGAATTAAAGCAATGTGAACCAACAATTAAACAGACTAACCTGATGCTCCAGCTTCGGCTGAAAGGTTGTTTAGAAGGGCAACGAAGGCGTCTTCAACAGACGTCGAGGTAGACCTCTTCACGGCCTCAGCGGTAGCAGGGCAGCGAACTTTGACGCGGCAGGCGGCGGTGAGTGTTGAGCTCATCAGTAGCTTTAAGAAGCTTTCCTCCGAAATGCCTTGTTGGACGTGATGATTCACTGTCTCTTGCGAACTCTTTGGATAAGAGATTTAACAAGTGGTATGAGAGCTCATGCTAATGGAAACGGTAAGCAGCACTAAGAAGTGGGCAGCTTTCAAACGTACAGTTAATGCGGTTGAATCCCTTCCCAGCCATTCTCCGCCCTCCTCTTCCACTTTTGCTTTCCGCTTCCTTACCTTAGAATTTTTTCTGGGCGCATTGGTGGCCACAGCTTCCGAGGTTTCAATGTCTAATTGGATGTTGAGAAGACGATGGGGATCGGTTGGGTCCAAATCGTTTTCTTCGTCAGGCGAATCCAGCTCGCTAGGTGCAACACCCTGCAAGATTTTACTAGGGTTGAAATGTTTTGGTTCAGCAATCACCTCCCAAACTCAGTGATGCAAATATGAGATGAATGCTTCGTATTAGGCAACAACTGGCTACGCCAAACCATGTGGTAAACAGCGTCCCCAATCTGGGAGCGGCCTCCATCAGTTTACATCATTTCTGCGATTGGCTTTCTTCAGATAATCCGGAAACCAGCGTCTCATTTTAGTATGATTAGAATCTGCAACGGTGAGGTGGGTCTCGTGGACTCAAACCTGGTAACGTGTCGAACTTTTCATTGGTGGCAGTACGGTGGGGCGCATCTGAATCATTTTTAAACAATGTTGGTACTCCGTGAACGACTCATGTCCAGTCGTTACAGGAGGGTGGCATCCACTACAAATGGTTGACGGAGATCGCACAAACTCCACAGCCGTAAACTGAGACAGCTTTACCCGGCTCATCCATCAGTGGTGTGATGAATAGGGCCAGAGCGCATAGCTATCCTGGTGTCCAAAGGCTTGTTCACCCTCGTAAGGTGGACGCGCAAACGTGTGCAACAGAAGCAGATAAGTTTGGACTCCTTTAGAATTCAATAAATATTCACAGAAAATGCTTAACTGGAAACTGAAAATGGCCATGCTTGAGATGATAAACAAGAAAGATCTAGGAGAGCTTCGTAACCGATGGTATTTGTGCCTATGGAAACGAGGGAGTAGAGACTCATTTTGGGGTGTATGCTCGTTACCTCTGGTAGATCCATAACATTGCTGACAGCGACATTTGTTGGGAAGTCATTTAGTGCCTCCCCTTCTACTTGCTCGACAGCAGCAGCCTGCTTCGAGCGTCGTTCCTTCTTTGTGGCTTTGCTGCGAGATCTGCGCATAGAAAAGCATCGATGAAAATTTGAACACACCATGTGCTACTGAAATTTGAATTCAGCCAGTCTGGTCAATAACGCAGAACAGAATATTTCGATGGGGAACTGATCAATCAGAGCAGATTAGACTTATCAGTAAACAAGATATACTTGCCTTGGCATTAAATTTGATAATCTAGAAAAAATCTTGTAGCTCTGCCACCTCCAGCAAAACAAGTCGGCGTCTTGTAACTAGTCAAGCCTAAAGTGTACAAGTTCCTGAGGTATTTAAGAACTAATTAAGATATAGGTTTAAGTATGGGAACGCAAGATTGACATTCAAGACGCTGGAAATCAGAACACACCCAGAAGCTTTTGCATTCGCCTTACTCATCTCCCTGAATTGCTTCTGCATCTCCATTGCAAATTTATCCGAACTTGCTAGCTTCAGTCCTGCAAATCCATATGAAAATGAACCAACTTTGGTACATTCATAAATAACGCCCTAAAAGTATCATCCACATTGCCACCTTATCAGCAGACTCACCACCGTTAGAGGGTTCCTCGACAAGCGGGTCATCTTGAGTTAGAGTTGGAGTGCTCTCTTCATCTTGTACGACAAGATTATGCGAGCTACTTTTCACGGGCTTTAGATAATGCGGATTTGACTGCTGCATCAGTAAACGCTGCTTTCGCATCTGCGCCCAGAAGAAGAAGAGGGAGTGATAAGAACAACTCTACCTAGTTGAGAATCGGCATAAGGCAAAACTTGGACGGAGTCACTAACTTCGTCTAATTCTGCCTGTGATAATTGTACGGACTTCGGTCCCTCAGATTCCACTAAACCGGTGAAAATGCCATCTCCAGTTGGCCTCAGTTCAACCTGCAAAATCAAAAGAATCAGAGGTTTGAGTTTTACCAGTGATGAGAAATCACAGTTAAAACGCAGCAAAAGCATGAAGTCATTTATAGCAGGCAAACATACATTTTTACGTTTGACCTTTTTAGACTTTGTATCCTGTGGAGAGGTGAAGGCATTGGATGAACCTGTTAACGCCTGCGATGGTGGTGACGGCGGTTCGTTGATCCAAGCGTCAAGATCAAGTCCTTCGGGCAGGGGTACTTTGCGTTGGGCCTTCGGAGCCACTGGATTAAGCTCGCCTTCAAAAAGGGAGCACAACTCATAGAGGAGAGTGTGCAATCCCATGCGAAGGTCGTGCACCGGTATAGTCTGCTGATGTGATTCTGGAAGAGAAAATTTATGATCCTGTTTGTAAATGGTTGATCCCGTTGGAATATAAACATTAAAGGTGGTTGCGTTTGAAGAGTATGAATATAAACTGAGATAATCAAACGGCAATAACCTCAAAAATATTAAATGAAAAAATAAACGATTAAGTCGTTTGATACACTGCTCCTCTTTGTAAATTGATCGTTTAAAGCTTACGTGTTGACTCCTGACATTATCAGAGGGACTCAAGCGCAGAAATATGAGACACACAAAAATGGAGCACTCATTGCAACAAAGCAACTAGTTAATGGTATCAAGCCAGACTAAACAAGCATAAAGGTTATAAAAATGAATAGAGGCGCACCAGCACTGGACCTAGCTTCAGATGCGACAGGACCAAGGGGATCCAGTCGTTCACCACTACCAGCCGCCATAAAATCTACGATTTCGGTAGTTGCGGTTGAATTGGGTATCGAATCTCCAACCTGAGCTCGCAACTTCGATAACCTCTTTGTCATGAGGTGCAAGAGCTGATGAATTGAAACAGCCTAGATACAAGTGAATGAGCTGTTAAACAAGTTTTAAGAGGACAAATCACTAAATCAAAAGTCCTCACTCTCTCTTGTACTTCCAGATTGGCTGAATGGACAAAGAGGGAGATTTTATCCATGAAGAAATTCGTAAGTTCAAGCAAATGCTCCAAAAGATCCTGAAGATGAGATAACGACGGTTCTGAATCCCCATCTTCTAACACTGGATTTTCCAACATGCAACCATTTGGTGACTCATTGAACCATTTGGCTGCAAGTTTACAGTAGAGCTTCAGCGAATTCAATACAAGCACGGATTGAATGTGGCCGCGAAGATCCACCAAATTCGCGGTTTCAAGCATGGCTTCTAATGTTTCTCGCGGCTCTTCTAGGAACCTGATGAAGGATGGAATTATCACGATTCACAAATTGCAAGTGGGTATGCGTAATCGCACCAATGTCCGGCCCACCACAACCAACCTACTTATAAATAAAAGTAGCACGTACCCAGCGTATTCCCCACATATCCATGCGGCAGCGTAGATAACGTCGTGAAGGCTGGCTTGATTAGAGTGAGTTATCATTCTCTTATAGGAACGTAAAAATATCGCCTAAATGAAATTAAAAACACAATGGGGCTTATGTTAGGAGAAAATACCACACAAAATGCTATAAAGCTAATGAATTACCATCTGACTAACAGCAAAAGGTCGAACAGAAGCTACACGAACTGCCACATCGAGAAGTTGATTGGCGAGAAGTTCTCCATTCCGACTGATGTTTAACTGAGCCAACTCCAACAAAACGGAGATGTACCTTCATGAATAAGATGAATTGATGTTGAGCAAATCAAGCTCAGAACCTTATCCATCAGTTTTCCTAATTCATACCTGCCTACCCCTTAATAAATGCCATTTATCCTTCATTATTTTCTTACCCTCGTACCCCGTAACAACAGTCAAACATTTCATTTTATCGGTCTCAGTATTGCAATAAAATATCTGCCCGCTTCATTGTCAAAAAAATGTACAGATTCATCAGTTAACTCAGGTTCCTTTGTGAACTTGCCTATATTCCTAATTATTCACCGAGAAGCCGAAACATTCGTCTACACTTCAGTCAATGGGTCGAAATTTCTGCATTCGCTAATACATCCCAGCGAACTGTTTGTCAGCCATCAATTCGTTTGTACAATCAACATACCATCGCCTGGATTGTCACTTACACCAAGGATTTAGTCCATCCTATAGCCTAAATAATTCTTTAAGAGGTCATTCACGCACCGGGTTTAGTGTAAGATCTTTCAAAGATCCATATAGACATTTTTAAAATGCTACAAACTGATCCTACGAACTACCTTACTGTTCCCGCTCTGACTCATCAATTTCACCTCATTTACACAAAACGTTTAGTTAGTGGAAAATGTTCCCAAAGCCAACCTGACCGTCTAGTAGTCAGCCACTCCGCTCTCCAGTCTAACGAAGGGATGGAGCTTTGGGTATTGCTCGAAAAGTCAGCATCCATACAACATTCAAGAGCGATGACGTATTTGGTGTATCTTGCAGGTCATTACGCCAGCCATTCGATATCCACCACCTACCTCGCTCATGCATGCATAAATTTAACCCACCTTTCTTGTACAGCTCTAAGTACCGATTACTTTGATGATTCATAAAACATAGATCCCTTCAACTAGTTTTTTCGTTATGCAAGACTCCTATGCATTATGCAGCGTACAAATTTCGCTCTGCGGAAGTCTGCTTAGCGTTTGACCCACATTCACAAGTCCAAGGAACGCATAAAGGATAGTCATATGTAATAACTCACCACTCAAAGGAGAGGACATACTGATAGTTGCCTTGTGAACAGATACGCACCACAGTAGCAATGAGTTCGGCCCGAAAGTGCGTACCAATTTCGGGTGTGGAGAGGTGACGGACGAGGCTGCGCACAATCTCCAGCAGATTGGTTCGACTTACCATCCCATGGAGAAGATCCAATGCCCGCAACCTGATCGACTCATCTCGATCATCAAGGCAGGTCAAGATGAGATCCTTATGTGCTTGCACGCTCTTTGGGTGATGACGAAGAATCTTGCCCATAGCCAACAGTCCCAGATACTTCACTGAAGTGCATACAAATGGTTATTACTTTGACAGTTAGTAGCACCCAATTAATGAATACTAAGAAAACATAAACTTGATTTCAGGACTCGTAAAATGAGCCACACTCCTTTCAAGGTGCTACTTAGGCTGTCCTACAAGCTAAATTGTCCTTCAAAGAAATGAGACATGAAAACGGATAACCACAATTATGAAACTTTAAAATCTCCCCGGAAGAGACTACGGTGGAAGCTGGATCCTACAAATGGATCAATACTTATGGTACTGAGTTCGATGAACACACATTTTTCGAAGAACTCTATTAAGGTGATGACCAGCACTTGAAAAATGTCGCAAGAGGAATCTAGAGGGACAAAGTAAAGCAGCACCCCACCTATCCCTACCTTTGCCAGCGATAACTTTTGGCTCAAGAGAGTTTGTGGTGGCCTCTACAATTAATACTTTCCAATTGATTTACAAGTCCTAGACGATTCTGAAGAATGACTTCTACATCCACAGACTAGAGTTGTACTGCGTTGATGTCAGCCTTAATTGATGCTTCAATGATTACATCTCCATTGCAATGCACGGTTACAGAGCAACCGGTCTTGAGCAGACGAAACAATGATTGATTCAACCTTGTAGGGACTGGATAGTAGAATAATTCGATACGATAAGTGCCCCCTTCCGCCATTCAACTTCCTGTCACGGAAAATCTTGTTAGCAAAGCCTTAGAAGATAGTTTTATAACGTTTACGGAGAAAGCAGGGAACAACGTGGTAGCCCCCAAATGATACTTGAAGTCCATTCATTTGGATCTTGCGGCTTTTTTTCAGTGAATTTAAATGTAAATAGCTTAGTCACTCATGCAAAACACAACAGAGGTATTTTCCTCACGTACTAACCGTCAGTTACCTTGAGCACTACCGTCACCTACTTTCCAAGTGAAAGTCTGCCTGAAATGACACGCACCTGTTTTTGATTAGATCATGACAAGAGCCAACTTTGAAAATATTCCTACAAATGGTTCCCGAAACAAGTCGGACTTGAATCGTCAAACAGATAACCTTGGGCCACATTAATTAACTTCAATGAACATTGCATGAAAGTGGGATTCAGAAGTATGGCGAATTACCCCACAATTCAATACATGCTCATGAGTTGCATTCGGGTGGTTGCACGTAAACACCCCCAAGTTGCAGGACATCATCGCGGTAAGGTCAAATGGAAAAGCCTATTTATTAAAATCGCTGATTGACGTGGATGGGGAGACACTCACAAGTGGCAACTCGAGGGGAGGTATCAACTGAACAGCCCTTTCGATTGAGACAGCAAAAAGTATGGTTACTTTTTCATGAACTAATGCAGCACAATCGTGCCAAGAGCAACAAATCCATAGGCTGTACAGCTTAATAATAATGTTAAAAATTGGAAGATATAGGTTAGAAACTGTTTGATGAGCTACTTGATCACAGAAATATGAGTGGTCTGCAACTGCAATACCAATTGGAAAGTAAAGAAAAATTTAATCACAAATAAAACTGTCTACATTTCACCATATCACGAGGTGAAGGCAAAATTTAAGCAAGAGTTCGTTAACCCTTCCGTCTCACTATTTAACTATCTTTCTCCTCTTGATTGGTCGCATTTCTGAAGACCGGAAGAGGAAGTTGATCTGAATAATAGGTGCCACTAAGAGGGAAATTAAGTGAGAATGTGAAAATAAATGGCATCACAATCAACTCACGATTCTGATCAGAGTCTTCGATGAGAATTCGCAGTTTTTGAACGCAAAGCTACAAAGAGGAGACAATAATTTAAAAATGCTGCACAGTTGTAATGTATTCACAATGCCACTATTCTGTTTTGCTAGAGGCACAGCCGCCATGCATAAACAATCCTTTTGTGGAAGAGAATAAACGATCCACTAATTAAAACTAGGACCAAGCACAAAATATCTAAACTCTGAGGAAAGAGTATCACCTTTCAAAACAAGGATGTAATGAATAACTCATATGGGCTGAAAGCAGCTACAACGGAATCAGATGGACTGGAGACCATAAAACCCGACAATTTGCTAATCCTGCAAACACAATGCGATATTCGACTTCCCTTGCCCTCCAGGACAATAACACAAACTTCGACAGTGGGTTTAGAAGAGACGCCTCCCTAGGTGAGACGAGGAATTTGCTGAGTTCATAAGTCTGAGAAGGCTCATAGGAAATGGATAATTGTGACAATAGCTTCAGTTGTTGGATGAAATTTAAAATAGACTAATCAAACTTGAACAATGGAAAATGATGGTAGCAGAATGAAGTCCGAAAAGTCAACATTTGGTACAAAGGGAATCTGGTATATCTCGGATAAGTAACCATATTAAATTGGAAAGTAATCCGGCCGAGATAAAAAAAATGTGGTTTTATATCAGATTTTGTCGCTTTTTTAGTTCTTTCGTCGTTGTCAACTGTTCGTTTTCCTTTGTACGGCTACTATGTGAATGCTCAATAACAAAGGAAGTAATATCAGGAGAAAAAGGAGGCGTTTCTTCTTAAGTCTAGTTTTTGTCAAATCACGAAATAGTGTGAGCGAACAGTTCGCGACTATGTGCACCAATAAGGCACAGATGCTCGGAACTGAAGCGGTATGCACAACAAAAGCGTGAATGAGACAGTGGATCATGCAGCAATAGTCAGAGATCGGTATGGAGTGCAAAAGTCACTTTTCTCTACAGACCAATTAACCAACCAACAGTCTTGTCAAAAAGGCAGCAAAAAAATTGGTGAATTATGAAGTCTACTGACTACGATTTGTTGCCGGATCATACCGCATGCCATTCACAAATTACTCTATTAAATGGGAGGTAAACAGATTGATGCGCTGCTCATAGTAAGTATTAGTGCAAATGCTTTTCTCATCAAGCCAATTGCGGACTACCGAACTCCCAGGATACACAATCAGCCAAGGTTGTCCAAATAGGTGGTCTCCCAAATTAGTATTTTTGATTATTTATGAGCGATGCCTTTTGCTACCGCGCATCGCACTTACTCTGAATGCTAATGCGCAAACTTTATGGGAGGCTCCTACAACTCTGATAGTTTAAGCTCATAAAGGAGGCAAGCTTAGACCACGTCTACCGCAGTTAACCAAAGCGAATGCCATAAAAAACTCAAGATGTAAAGAATTCCTAAGGAAAACAGTAAGCGATAAGTCACAAGGGACCACCTAAGGGGAGGTAGTAATTATGAAATTTGTACGGAATTTCCCAGTTCCTACGACGGCATATAAAAAGCGGATCCCAAGCTCTGACAAATGTGCCCCAGTGCAACAACGCACCCAAGTTGCAAAATTTGTTCACGAGATCAGAAACCGTCAGTAACTGACATATTTCCCTCCTTTAACAATCAGCAGTCATAACAAATGGGAACGCTTACTTGGATAGAAGCATGATGATCAGGCACACCTGAAGAAATTGAAAGGAGAACTTCAGGTGAGGAAGCAAATGTATTCATAGGTGCAAACGGTAAAAGCAACCCAAGCACAAATTAGCATCAGAAGCATGCACAGAGGGTCAATTGTTCGTAGACGACATCGGGGATGGCAATAAAGAAGTGGCACACAGAGCACAAATACACAAATATAGCCCAAACGCCGCGAATTTACCCATTCGAAGAGGGGAGAAGGCAGAGATAAAAAAGGCAGCATCAGTGCTGAGATTAATGGTGACAGTTAGGTTGGTAAAACCACATTATGATCCAATACAGTGAAGTCACAAGTAATTTTTGGTATGACACGTGATCCTACCTAAATTCAGTCATTTAAATTGCCCTGCCCGTTAAAAGATCTCACATCACTTATCCCTTAGGCAGAGGAAAATTATTCGAAAATGGCGTAAAGGTTAAGAGACTTTCTGAATTACTCAACTAAAATGGTGCACAGCTTTAGCAGCATCATAAAACCTAAAGCAATGAAAATCTGCACTTAACTCTTTAACTAACTTTGATCATAAATTGAATGCCGTAGCCATAACGGAACCAAGGTATATAAAATACGGTTTAATGGTGCGAGTAATTATAAATACCATCCGATTCCCCAAAGGCCCAGCTAAATCTCCTTAACAGATCCCTTCAGCAGCGACTACTGATGGAAAAGATAAAAAAATGAGTCGCCCATGGCGACAAACCGTATAGAGCCATTTCTTGGTTTTAAAGTAAGTATTTTTGCCTTATCACTGAATAGAACCGTATCGTAGCATTCAGCGTGAGTGATGAGAAGCCAAAAGAAAAATTAGTTAAACCTAACAAAAAGCAAGAAGGCAAATGCGCACACACATGCAACCTACGAAAGACTGACTCACCTGCTAGAACAGTGTTGATACATTCGTAGAGCAGTGACATCGCAGAAGTGCTGCATGTGTAGAGGGAGAAAGGAAGGAGGTTAAAAGCATTTAAACATAAAGCCAACCTCAGTCAACTCTGATTGTTATTCATACAAATAAGAGCTCGCTATTGGGAACTTAAAAAATAGGTTTAAATAAATTCACCATGCTTAAAACAGCAAGCCGGATATGAAACATTCATGCCCTGAGAGCAATGATAAAACCAAAATTTTCCGTCCTCTGAGACGTGGTCGTGATGCCCTAGTAGCATAACTCTACACTATTTGGAATTCCCCTATAGGACACCAAGAACCAGAAATAAACATCAAATTGGCATACTTGTGAATGAGGTTTGTCAACGGTTCAATGAGCTTCTTGCCTAACCGTGGTTCCAGTGGAGTAAGGGCACCAAACTAAAAGAATGGAAAATTAGATAAGAGAGGACAAACCAGCTTGATGATTTTAATGAGGACCCAGTTATTTGTCGATGTAGTCATAAGTTTGAAGAATACAGGAGAGAGCGACAAATAGTTCTGGGGATTTTTACGGGCTAATTCGCATATCACATTCACAGCAGCCGATTGGATCCCTGGAAGAGGACATAAGTAGTTTTAAAAAATGGAATAAAATCAAGCCTGGATCAGAATCTTCCAATTTCTTGCGAAGTCGTGGAAAGGCAGCTCGAAGAGCATCAGGATTCTTAAGAAAAACTTTGTACAGTAGAAGAATAGCCTTTTTGGCTATATAGGGCTTGGGCGAGGTAGTCTAGGGACTCACATACTGAAGGCACACCAAGTTACCAAAGCCAAAATATCGTCACATAGATCTTTCGCCAGGTCAGAAGTTACGAAACAGGAAAGACCCGAAAGCGCAACGCTTGTATCGTACAATTTCCCGCTATTTAAGTCCTATTTTAAAGTTAACTTGAAGCTTGATTAAACCCACCTTCCGTATGAGATTTGTTGCAAGCATTAAAACATCTATTTGCTCACCGAAACATTGCGAAGCAGCCAAATAACCGATCCTCTATAGATAAAATAGGGGATATGAATCGCACAACCTACTTTGTGTGAAAACTTCGGACTGCTCATAACTTCGATGATATTAAAAGCTGCCCATGAAATTTCATACCCAAGCATTTGGAGCTAAAAGTCAGCCCTCAGATTGATCTTACATATGCTAATTTATTTATAGCATTGGCCTTGGATACTATGTTCCCTGTCTTTAATTCATTTTTAATCTCATCGATACACTCGTTGATGTACTTGGCCTTGAAGTAAAAGTGATCATCTTCACCACATACCTCATCATATTTGTGTGCCCTTATTCCCCTAACCAAGTCGGATAGATCCTTATCTAAAGCCCTCTCCAACGTATTTTTAACAGCCGACAGTGCCATCGCGACAGCGTAATGAACACTTGGGCCGAAACAACAAGGGCTAAAAAGGAGGTCAAGACCCTCTACAAAATCTTTATTTTCTGAATGCTGCAGGTATAATTCAGTGATTTCATGCCACAGCGATGGAATTTCACAGGCATTGTTATAAAAACTGGTAGAGAAAAATACTAGGCAGAACATTTGCCTAAAATGAGCAAAGTTAATAAAGCTAGTGTTCACCTCGTCGCATACGTTCGAGAAAAAAATGAAGATTTAGAAAAATTTGACCAAGAATGTTAAAATACGCATTGTGCAGCGAAAGTTATTATTAATAAGACAATCGACGAACATGGATTTGAATAAATTTACCACCTAGCAAGGTCGAACCCTTCTAGATTTGTATCCGCATTCACAAATAATTTAATCAGCTATTGTACTTACCATGCAATTAGTTTTCAGGGTCACGCTAAACACGTCCAGAAATTACTTGTTGATCAGCCTAGCATCCTTGGTGGGTAGTGTATGGATCACGCAGTTGAGCTCACGGGTAAGGAAAAACAGTAACCGCAACAGGTGCCATTTTAAGTGAAGCTTTGAATTCTGGCACTAGATGGGGTTTCATCCCTAAGATAATGGATTGCATATTTTGGTTTTTTTGGAGGATTGTAAAATGCATCTATCTCCATTCAACTTGTTAAAAAATCATGTCAGCTGTAAGCTCAATGCCATTTATTGTCGTTCGGAGTTGACAGTTTCGTAGACCGGATCGCATGCGGGGAGATCTGCTTCCCTAATCTTTCGAGCTACCTTACAGTGGGAACAGGAGTGGGCGGCACCCAAAATACTGCAAATAAGCTGTTTGAAAAATAAAGTGACAAAAACGGTGGGTAGGTAGGACGTCTGGAGGGGTAAATATATGTCTGGTGTGTACCTTATGTTATTGTTGCATCCCACTGACAGGGTTTTAACGGTTGTTCGATTTTATCATAAAAGGGGCGTGAATTTTGACATACTTTACGAGAGTCAGCTGATACTTTAGTCTTCTAGCTGCTGAGCATTCGAAAGTCTTTACTTGATGTTTAACGAGTCTCTTGCTAGGACTAGAGGCAATTCTAACCTGGACGTGAATAGGAGGTTACGCTATGCAACCCTCGCCCCTTCATACGATCTGCCCTGGTTGATTCACTGCAACGCGGGAGCAGATACCCAGATAATTTGAGCCGTATAGATCATAGTACCAACCTGGACACGGCTCGTGGACTGGAGCTAATAGATATTATCCCTTTCACAAATGCTTTGATTTGCTGCAAATTCTTGAGGGATTCGATACGTCATCCTCCAAAAGAGGACATAGACCGCCTATAAAATATACTCGGACAAGCAAACCTTTCTACATGTTACTTTGCTTTCCCTTCTGTGATACCTCAATAAACGGTGCACCAAAATTCCTGCCATCTTACGGCAAGATTGCAGCTAAAGTTATGCATCCTTTTGCATCTTTCGAAAAAACCTTGACTCCGGTGAATACCTAAATCTCCCTCAAAACTTCGCATTTGCTGCATATTGAGTGCAGCAAAATCCATTTCAGGCTAATCGACTTCAGTGTTAGCAAGTAAATGCAGTAAACTTATCGATGGCGCTGCTCTTGTTGTGGTGCGGAAGGGTCAAGCTGCTCTAGGCCGAGAACAAAGTATCACAATATTGAAGATAATATCCCAATTGAAAGCAAATGAGGACCAAATAACGTTTCTGTTAAATGCGACCCAAATAAAGGGTGAACATACCAAACAAGGTGCTCACTGCGAGGTGTTGGCAAAGTGGGCCTGACTGAGACTTTTCGACCCCGATTTCAGTAAAAGAGATGTGCATCTTCTCTACGCTGCAGCAAAATTTGGCAACGAAGTGCCAGATTGCTAAAGATGTCTCCAAACACCTCTCAATTCGGCGTGCGTCACGTAAATTGGACTTGAATTCTCCTCTCTTACCCCCAAAAAATCGTTTTGTTAGGCGGAAAAAAGTTAAGTTGATTTGCGACTGTTGCTGCTCCGATGCTCAAATTGATAACTTCCAGTCACGAGGGCTTAGCTTTGATAAGTTGGTCTGATAAAACGTCTTTCATATCATTCATCACGTACCAGTGAAAACTGAGGAAATCTTTATTGTTCACACACCAAGTAGCTATAATTTACAAATAGTTTGATAACCTCAGGACAAAAGTAGAGTTACTTATTCAGATGAAGGGAATGAAATTTTTCGACCTTTTTTCGTGCATAGGGAAAGGGGATGAGAGGGCGAAGGAATTAACCTCGCGACTCCACATAGACACACCTCTCTTGGCCATGCGCACAAACTTCCGTTAGGTGGATTTTAAATTTTCCATTTTAGACAGCTTGGCTAGGAAAAGATTAAAAAGAAGAGGGGAAAATTCGACGCTTGCGCCCTCTTTGGGGACTCCTGACGTCCGCTTATTCGTGGTGATGGTGTAATCTATTTCTCTGCCACCTAAAAACTGTCGAAACTAGCACACAATTTCGACATTTACCCCTTTCTGCTTTTTATAATTTTATTGTGTGTTTGCAAATTTATGGGGATCTTTTTGCACTAATCCGTTTTTTATTTGTGAAAAATAAGTACAACGCGGAAGAGGAAGTATCATCCACCCATGTTGTGCAATGCATCACAGCAAAAATGAGCAAATTGTTTAAAGTCCATTTCCATGACATGGCATGCTAACATATTGGAAGGCTTTGAATACTACTGCACTAGTCTACTCTGAAGCTGGAGAAGATGGACATCCTACTCACAGGCTACGAGACTGCCAGCGATACTTGAGGTTCGCGGCACAGTAGTGGCGGCGTGCTTAACTGAGCCTAATTAAAGAAACTTTCAACTTTTAGTCCCACCGCCATTTTAATTGACTCGCTTCCGTATTCCAACCTGTGATAATCGAGTTGCCCACTTAGAAAGCTCATTTTTCCTTCTTCACCTTCTGCACACAGGTCTAACATATTTACGAAGAGAACAATGGCATAAGTAAGTGTTGTTCAAAAGACCTCATTTCAACACAAATGGAAGAAACAAAATGACCTAAAAAATTTACTCAATCTCTTTAGTTTCTATGACCTTCAAATAACTAATTTTAGCCAAAATATCAGCAAACACAACCACTTTTTTCCACTTATCTACCATAATTTAGCTTTGTATATTTCCCCTGAGCCTTTTTCCCCTTTGGAGGTGAATTTCTTCTGTCCTCCTCTGCAGCAGGCCCTTCAGTCCATATTGATAGTCCCTCAGTCCCTTTGAAAGGTACCGATGCATGATCTTTATCAACTCTCTCAGCATAATGCGACCCTAAAACCGCATCACCTACCGATCAGGGACCCACACTGTAATATCTTTGAAAATCCTGCATCTGGTTTCCACTCTCGACCCACAACGCATAAAGGAGTGCTTTATTAACGGAAGAAACTCAACCCACTAGAAGGAATGGGCTTAATGCGGAAGACAAATCAAATCACCTGAAACGTGGGCTGATGATTGTTGCGGCCTTTCGTTTACTTAACTTGCATAAATTTGCTACCAAAATGCTGATTTTTTCCTGCAAAGGTAGCTAAACTGTGGCTTCAGTGATGAATGAAAAATTGCAGCCAAAGCGCCTGTAACTGAATTCCCGCATCGGCGGTAGCGGATGAGTTCATCTGTTAAAACGGAGAAAATTTTTTCCATGTAATAGTCACGTTTGAATAGCCTTGAGCATATTGTGGATCCGTGCACCGACCCCTACCGGCATTACGGAATGCGGCTGACCTCAACCATCGTGCACCTCGATGATGACTCCCTAATCAGTAGTTTTATTCCCTGAAACGATTATTTAAAAAACTGATGCATAGCGCCTCGAAATCTTCCAAAATAGATCAATCTTTTCTTTAAAAGCCCAGGCAGTCGCGTTTCATGAAGGTTGGCTAATCATCATCAGCCAGACAACTTGAAACATTTCCAAGGTGCTGTCGAATGCTTTCAGAGCAAAGGCTTCTTGACATTAGTGAGAAGCCGAAAAGCCTTACGAATACAGGAGTGGACTGAAGATTTAAACCTCTTAACGTAAGTGCTTTTCAGCTCTAGGGATACAAGTTTGTCGATCAATGGGCAAGCACCTTGCCTCTCGTGAACCTTATCAAGCCAAGCTAAGAACTTGCCTTCAATAAAGCACTTCCATAAATCAACTTTAACGATATGCTTAAAAGTTAAGTGCCATGTAATACGACCCGCCCTCCCAAAGGTACTATCCTTTCATAAACAATTTCACTCAAAGTTGCGGCTTCAGATGCTGCCCACTCATCCACTGGTCGGTGCGCTATTTACCCTCGACGGATGCATGCAGACGGTAGGCATTTCAAACAATATATTATTTGTCTGCAGCCAGAGAAGTTTTCAGTGCTAACCACAATTTGCAACATCTAAACAGACGATTGAGTGGGTGCAATGTCAACTGTACTGGAAAACAACAGACCCTAGTCTTACTACGTCTCCTCCACCCAGTAAGGCACATACAAATGCTCCAGACACTACTGGATGGTTAATTTACTCCAATTTGAACGATGAGTGGTGCAAAAAGCCAACGCCGGATGCTTCCTACCGACGTTAGTCTGAAAAGCTTCTTTTGACGTCTCTAGATGCGGAAGCTCCTGAAATTGTTGGCATGGTGATCACCAGCTGCTACTGAGGTCTTTTCGGCGGCACATAGACTTTCGCCCCCCCCGCCTCCGCCTCTTATTTCCTCCTTTCCACCGAATTCGTCCGTTGTGGTCTTTTTACCCACTTCGGGTGTTGTCGATATGTTAATGCTCGATTGAGGCATCCATCGGCCCAAAAAGTCATGATGTCTAGACCCGGGGTGCTGATACATTCCAATAAGACTTGGAACTTCGGGAGACTCGTGTCGACGTTGTCGAAGGCTTCCGACTGTTGAGATAAATGTAGGATTTGATGGAAGAAGGTGATTCGAGATATGGTCATTGACCACTGTCCCGTCATCATGATAGGACTGGCGTTCGGAGAGAAGTGGAAATGCATACCCAAAGCCTCCCATTGCATGCTCCATTGTAACAGGATCGAAGGTGGCTGTGGAAGTCGGCTGGAATATAAAACTAGGTGGGAGACCATATCCTGTAGGAGGCAAATGCATGTCGCTCCAAATGGGGGTTCGAAAATTCCATGTAGAGGTATAATGCTGAGGTCTTGGGAGCAGCCAGTTAGTGCAGGAACTGGACAAGCCTGGTGGATTTGTGTTACTCACTCCCGGTTCAGGGAAGCAGTCACTGGACTTCTCCTTCATAACCGTCAGTCCTTCATCGTGGATGCCAGACACGGTTTCATCATGATCAAAATTATCTCCCGATGGCTTTGCTAAAATAGTGGCCTTTTGACTTTCTCCATCTGAGATCTCAGAAGCCGTTTGATGTCTGGAAGAGGACAATTCTTGATTATGCATAGGAATCCCACTCGTGGAGTTATGACTTATGCAGGTTCCCGTACCACAAGCTTTCAGGCATCGGGCTGAATTGACACACCACACCCCAAGGCCCTGATCAAATGAATTTAAAGAGTCCCCAAAGTCGTCCTTAGAATGCGCGTCATCACCTGCAGTTCCACTCAGGGATTTTTTTTGCTGATCACAGTCAGAGCCATCACATAAATTAGAATACGAGTTTAAGATCTTGGGGCTTGTCTGACTGGATGAATTGATCTTTGTGGGTCCTACAGTGCTTTGGGTATGCGGAAGTAGTATCTGTTGTTGTGCACATATTCCATGGGACCAGACCCCCTCACCTGCAGGCAATAGGCCCGGATGGAGGAAATGTGGCTGGAGGATGGGATATGGATACGACTGACACCCTGGGTACACAGTGGGACTTATTGGTAAGAAACTGTTCGTAAATATTACAGGCATTGGATTTAATTTTCCAGGAAAGGAAATCAGTCCTGATGAATACTGCTCCCCAGTCCATCGCTCCTGCTGTGATTGTCCACTTGTATCCACGACAAAATTGCTTATGAAGCTCTGCTGCTGACCACCAGTCATCCCGTATGTATTTCCATCCAAAGTTGCACCGAACTGAAGGCTGTTGATGTGTTGACAATTTCGATTTCTTGAAGGCTGTTTACTGCTCAACCTGGAATGAGTAGCATCCCGTGCGGTTGACTCTTTCAGCTCGCTAAATTCACTGCCATGCCGCATAGTTGAGGACCCACTTTTCTTGCCAAAGTTTGGTGGTTCCATTGCCTTAATTTCCACCTGTTTATTGCCCATTGTCAAGTAATGCATATTTATCAGTCGGTTGACAACAATTTCCTCCTCAAACCCAATGAACGCAAACCCACGATGGCGCTGTTTATTAGGATCCATCATTAAATTGACATCGGTGACGCGGCCAAACTTCTCAAAGAAGGCCTTTATCGAAACAGCATCTTGATCAAGGCTGATTCCGCCGACAAATACTTTCAAGCTACGGCGATTGCGACCCTTCATCTTAACATTGCATTGTTTAGCGTCGATCTCCTTACCATCCAACCAATGCGGTTTTGCGGCTAGAACAATCTTCACACTCTCTGGATCTCGGTACTTGACATATCCAAAGCCTCTAGATCGGCCCGTCTTGTTATCCATCATAACAACAGCGTCTTCAACCTCACCGAACTGAGCAAAGTAGATGCGCAAGCTAACATTATTTGTATTTTGCGAGATGCCCCCAACAAATAATTTTCCAATCTCATTTCCCTCCGAATCTGTCATGAGAGGGAAGAGGAAATCTGTGTCCCTTAATAAAATTGCGTGACTTTCAGGTGGGTGTGAATACCTTCAGCGGCAACACCTTCAAACTCGCTGGTCATGGACCGCCCTATCGATCGTTGGTTTAAAATAGTGCTCCCCACATCACGCATGCCTTCTGGAAGCACGTGGAGGCCGCTTCCAACCAGGTAACTTCTAAAAAGCCTTGCAACACTTAAGTGTAAAACCAAAGTGGAAAAAAGAAAACTCTAAAAAGATGCTACAGCTGCCATTTATACCATTCAACACTCCAAATGAAGTTGATCACAAAGCTTGGAAACCCGAAATTGAGATTTAAAAATAAAAAGGCATCAACAAGTGCACTACGTTGAAAAAAAAACTTAAAAAAACCAAACAGAAGATTGCGTTTAACAGAGGTAAAAAGATGAGCGAAGACAGAAGGGATAATTAAAATGTACTTAAAACTTGCTAGCTTATGATAACGAAGTACAACTATTACCAGAAAAGTGAATAGATTGGGCTTAAAAAATAGTATCAAATCATAAAAAAGAATGCTTTAAGAGAAAGCACGACACTAATCGTACACCTTGTGCACCAGACGGTTTGGATGACTCTCTCAATGGCCATCACACGCACATTCGGAAAATGCCCACCTTCGTCCACCCCTC